AGTGGGGGGGAGACAGAAACCCAGAAACTATAGGAAAATATGGGGAATCTTTTTATTTGTGTGTATTTATTTGTGTGTCCCAGGGCCCCTTCATTAAGAGCGCCCTGGTCGGCCCAGGAGAGGTTGCCCTGCTTCCAAAGGTCGCCACATGGCGGCCCCCGGAGCGGTGCAGCGGGAGTGCCCGGGCCCTCCGGGTCCTGAGGCCCTCCGCGAGGGCTCGAGGGGGGCGCGCCTGCGACTGGCTAGGAGGACTCTTGGAGCCCTCGGGAGCCTCGAGACGGGTCAGTGCAAACGGGGGTCAGCCAGGGCACCGGATCCTGCACGATCCTGCGAAGACCCCCTCTGGCTGACCCGGGTTAGCGAGCCGCTCGTAGCCGCGAGGCGGCCGCGCATATTGGCTGACCCGGCTTTGCGAAGACCTGCGTTGCAGTTTTTTTGTACTTGCATTGCAGTTTTGGGTTTCCTGCTGACCCGGGTCTGGATTGACCCGGGTCAGAAGATCCCCGAAGCCCTCGGACCCAGGCGGCCACCAATACAGCCAAGACGATCCATCGGTAGCCATTCTGGATCCAGGGGCCCAGGCTCTTGGCTAGACACCAAGGGTGCCCGAACTTTTCCTTTCTTGTCGTGCGATTTCGGATACTGATATGATCGTGAACGTGATGCTAGGTTTTGCGGCATTCATTGTGGGCGTGGCCGCCAAGGCAAACGTGGGGGACCAAGATTCCCACCTCATGCAGTTGTCCGCACAAGGCCATAATCAGTTGGACTCGCTCGGCCTCGCGAATTCCTCCGCTGCTTCGTCGGCGTGCAGCACGTCTTCGAGCAGTCCGGCAGTGGGTTGTGAAAGTGTGTATTCCTCCGGTTGCAGAACGTCTGGCGTATTTTGGATTCAGCCAGATTCGAGTCAAAATGCCTTCCAGGTATATTGCTCCATGGACGACCCCAATGGCGATGGCGGTGGCTGGACTTTGGTTTTTGGAATTCAAAGCAGTACGTACCGCAGTTGGTTGTCAGGGTGCACCTACAGTGCAAACATGCTTGATCCAACCACAGCAGACGGATGCGCGAGCAACATGGCGCTCACACTGGGGAAAGCACAGTTCATCAAGTGGACGGATACGTCCACCTCATACACCCCGTTTTTGCTAGCAGAGTTCCAAGATATTGGTGACTACTACCGCGAGGTTTTCGAGCCCGGGACAACCGGTACCGACAACAATGTTTTCGTCAGGTACCCCAAGGGACCATACTCATCATGGGGGTGGGTGTCTACAGTAGGACAATGGCGCAGCTTCAGCAGCAGTAATCGTCATTTGTGGGCTCATTCAATTAACGGTTACAAGTGTTGGTGGGATGCTGATGCAGGAGATCGACCATTTTACAATGACGGTGGTGGAAGTAACGAAGCGAACAAATGCGAGGGATATGACCCCCCGTACCAGTATCCATCAACGGCCAGCCGCGGGGGATCTTTCGATTACCTCATATGGGTGAAAGGCGAAGCGGGGCTGGCGCCGATCGCTACGCCCAGCCCGACGCCCAACCCGACGCCCAACCCGACGCCCAGCCCGACGCCCAGCCCGACGCCAAGCCCGACGCCCAGTCCGACGCCCAGCCCGACGTATCCTCCGGCCGGAGGCATGGCTGCCACAGGCGATCCCCACCTGCAAAATGTTCTTGGTCAGCGGTTCGATTTGATGAAGCCGGGCAAGCACGTTCTGATAAACATCCCTCGTGGAAGGCACAAAAACGCATTGCTTCGCGTGCAGGCCGACGCGCGTCAAATGGGAGGACACTGCGCAGACATGTATTTCCAAGAACTGAATATTACAGGGGAGTGGGTGGAAGCTACAGTGCCTGGTGGTCTCCGTTTCCAAGCTTGGAGTGTGCAGCACGAGCAGCCAAAGTGGTTGAAGTTTGGGAAGGTGCAGGTGAAAGTTGCCCGTGGGCGCACTCAGAACGGTGACCAGTATCTGAACTTCTATGTAAAGCATATTGGACATTCTGGATTCACTGTCGGAGGATTGCTAGGAGAAGACGACCACACGGAGGCAGCGATACCCTCGGAGGCTTGCATGCACCACCTTACCCTGCTTAAGGCGTTATCCAATCAGTCTCGGAGCGCACCCGTTTTCTCGGTTGCCGAGGCGAGCTAATGACGCGCGCGCGCGTGGCGTGAAGCTGTGGTGAACTTTTGCAGAGTGCAAGACGCTCTGAGACAATAACCGCTGAGATAATAACCGCTCTGGGTTCGCAAGGTGCTCCTCGCTGCTCCCTAGGCCCACCCATGGCTGTTCCTCTGGTTCTCCTCGTGCACCCGGGCGCTCTCGGCGCCGCAAAGAGGACTCCGTTCCATGCTCAGCACTCCTCATGGCAGCAGCTTGACTGCACAGCCACGGTGCTCCCAAGACCGTCGAGGAGGCTCCCCAGAAGCCCCTGGGAGTGCTCTGGGAGGGCGTTCCAGGCTTCCGGGCCCCGACGATCCCACCAAGTTTGTTTCAACAGCCCCCAAGGCGGCGCAATATGTCTCCGAGATCGCCCCAAGGCGGCCCCAAAGGGCCCGGCGAGAGTCTTTCCAGCGAGCCCCAGAAAGCCCCACGATGGCCCAAGGCAGGCCCAAAGGGCTTCCAAGCTAGACGCGCACATGGTAGGATGCCGCTTGCCTCTCGAGCGCGCGTTTGCAAAGATTTCGTCTGGCAAGTTTTGCACGCTGGCGGTTGCGCGTGCTCAGAATCCTGGGGATGCTTCTTACCCGCGCACGTGTTTGAGACGCCAGCCCAGCTGGATCGGTGACATGAACCCACTGATGCTCTGATCAAGTGTTTGGTGCTCCCACCTCCGAAGTCTGTCCTAAGCCATAGCGTAGAATACATGCTGCATCATGTTGCCTCTTCCTTACGCCGTGTCAGCGGCGCGCGCGAGCCGCCAGGGCAAACCAGCATGGGTCGATAGCGGCAGAGCGTGCCGCGACAAACATGATTTTGTTTCGAGCGATCCCCACCGAATCCTTACGCGTTTGTTCCCGACGGCGCGCGGTCGCCCAAATTGCCGTTTCTGGATTCAAAAAATCGGTTCAACCGTGTTCCACGTAATCACGTTCATTCATGTTGTGCTCTATTATTCCTATGATGTTCTCGACGGGCCGGCGTGAGGTCTTGACGCATGTGACGTTAGATACGTCGTCAGTTGTGATCTTTCTCGTCACTGATGTTTCTCTTCTGATTGAGTCGGTTATGGGGGGAATGCTCATCTACGCCACCATATAATTGAGATATTATTGTCTGATCTGCTCTGTGGCACTATGCTATGGCATGACATGGTATGTCAAACTATGTTATGCTATGATCTGTTTCGTGATGATGTTGACAGCTCGGCTCAGTACAGTATACTATGATTTGCTCTGCTAGTATGTGTCGCTATCCTTTGCTGTGGTGTAATGATATGAGTTGTGGTGCTGCCGTGCTATGTTTTGATATGTTATGGCATGGTGTGTTGTGTTCCGCTTGGTTGTATTATGCTATGTTATTGTATGCCGTCTGTTATGTCATGTTCGGACATGGTAAAGTCTTTGGTGATATTTGTCTTGACGTCCTGGCTCTTTAGAGTATTTTATGATATGGTTTGCTAGTATGTGTCGTTATGCCTTGCTGCCGTGTCACGATATGATATGTAGTACTGTGTCATGATATGATATGTTATGCCAAGGTGTGTTTTGGTATGCTCGGTTATGTTATGTTATGTTGTTTTATGTTGTCTTCTAGTGTGTCGTGTTCTGCTCAGATATGGTATTTGATGTTATGCTATGCTTTGTTTTGTCATGTTATTGCTATGTTATGTTCTGTCATGTTCTGTCATGGTCGTGTGATGTTCTCTAAGTTTCTGTTGTGCCATGCTGTGTTCCGTTGTGTTCGACGTCGCTATGCTCTGCTGTCGTGTTTTTGTCTGTTCTGTGATGCCGTGTCATGATACGATATGTTCTGTCAAGGTGTGCTTTGGTATGCTCGGGGTTGTTATGTCATGTTGTGTTCTGTCGTCTTTTGAAATGTCATGCTCTGCTCTGGTATGTTCTGTGCTGTTATGTTTGATGACGGACCGGCTCGGTAGAGTATAGTATGATATGATATGGTATGCTAGTATATGTCGCTATGATCTGCTGTCGCGTTATGATATGTTCTGTGATGCTGTGTCATGACATGATATGGTCGCAGGTCGCAGGTGTCCCTGCACAGTGGGGGGGAACACCTGCTAGCTTTTGACGCACTTGCCATGCTGCGTGCAGGCGTGTGTCTCTCCAGCTGCGGGGAGCGTGGGTTCCGTGGAGGCACGCGGTCCACGACATTGGCACCAGCTTCTTTGCTCGTGTCGGGTGCAAGTCGTTGACGTGTGGCCACCACTTTCGTGCAAATGAGGCGTCTTGATTGCAGCTTGCATTCGTCCTGCTTGCGCAGCGCTGAGTTCTACGTTTTTACGTGTGTGTGTGCCTGTGTGTGTGTGGGGGGCGTACCAGTGTGTCTTACAGGGTAGCTTCACTGTGTGTTGATTGGAGCGTAGCGGTGTGCTGTAACGTCTGGCCGCTCAACAGCAGCGCTGTGCACACATCTGACCGGGCGCGGCCGCATTCATAGACAGGCTGCCACAGCCCGCGGGGAAGCAGGCCCCACGACGGCCCTACACGGCTCCACACGACGGCCCCAGAGCCACAGCCCCCCCGGCAGTACAAGTCGGTAGCTTCCCCCGGTTCGACGAGACCCAGGGCTCCCGCCAAGCCTCGAGCCCAGGGCCCCCGCCCGGCCCTGTTGCACCTCCGCTGCGGTCGCTCGGGCTCTTCGGGGGGTCCTGGAGCTCTCTGGGAGGGTCCCGTGGCTCCCGCGGGGAGGGGGGGGGCGCGCACAGAGTTGCCTGGATGGACTGCGGGAGCCCCAAGACACTTTCGAGGCGGCCAAGGTGGGCCCAAGGTGGCCAGAGGCTGCCGACGAGAAAATGGAAGGCTCTCCTGGCAATATTTAGCCCTCTCAGCCTTTCGGTTTAAATCAGGAGGGGAAAAAACACAGACACAATTAATCGTCGACTCCCAAGAAAATAGGGGAAAATATGGGAAGTGGGGGGGAGACAGAAACCCAGAAACTATAGGAAAATATGGGGAATCTTTTTATTTGTGTGTATTTATTTGTGTGTCCCAGGGCCCCTTCATTAAGAGCGCCCTGGTCGGCCCAGGAGAGGTTGCCCTGCTTCCAAAGGTCGCCACATGGCGGCCCCCGGAGCGGTGCAGCGGGAGTGCCCGGGCCCTCCGGGTCCTGAGGCCCTCCGCGAGGGCTCGAGGGGGGCGCGCCTGCGACTGGCTGGGAGGACTCTTGGAGCCCTCGGGAGCCTCGAGACGGGGGTCAGTGCAAACGGGGGTCAGCCAGGGCACCGGATCCTGCACGATCCTGCGAAGACCCCCTCTGGCTGACCCGGGTTAGCGAGCCGCTCGTAGCCGCGAGGCGGCCGCGCATATTGGCTGACCCGGCTTTGCGAAGACCTGCGTTGCAGTTTTTTTGTGCTTGCATTGCAGTTTTGGGTTTCCTGCTGACCCGGGTCTGGATTGACCCGGGTCAGAAGATCCCCGAAGCCCTCGGACCCAGGCGGCCACCAATACAGCCAAGACGATCCATCGGTAGCCATTCTGGATCCAGGGGCCCAGGCTCTTGGCTAGACACCAAGGGTGCCCGAACTTTTCCTTTCTTGTCGTACGATTTCGGATACTGATATGATCGTGAACGTGATGCTAGGTTTTGCGGCATTCATTGGGGGCGTGGCCGCCAAGGCAAACGTGGGGGACCAAGATTCCCACCTCATGCAGTTGTCCGCACAAGGCCATAATCAGTTGGACTCGCTCGGCCTCGCGAATTCCTCCGCTGCTTCGTCGGCGTGCAGCACGTCTTCGAGCAGTCCGGCAGTGGGTTGTGAAAGTGTGTATTCCTCCGGTTGCAGAACGTCTGGCGTATTTTGGATTCAGCCAGATTCGAGTCAAAATGCCTTCCAGGTATATTGCTCCATGGACGACCCCAATGGCGATGGCGGTGGCTGGACTTTGGTTTTTGGAGTTCAAAGCAGTACGTACCGCAGTTGGTTGTCAGGGTGCACCTACAGTGCAAACATGCTTGATCCAACCACAGCAGACGGATGCGCGAGCAACATGGCGCTCACACTGGGGAAAGCACAGTTCATCAAGTGGACGGATACGTCCACCTCATACACCCCGTTTTTGCTAGCAGAGTTCCAAGATATTGGTGACTACTACCGCGAGGTTTTCGAGCCCGGGACAACCGGTACCGACAACAATGTTTTCGTCAGGTACCCCAAGGGACCATACTCATCATGGGGGTGGGTGTCTACAGTAGGACAATGGCGCAGCTTCAGCAGCAGTAATCGTCATTTGTGGGCTCATTCAATTAACGGTTACAAGTGTTGGTGGGATGCTGATGCAGGAGATCGACCATTTTACAATGACGGTGGTGGAAGTAACGAAGCGAACAAATGCGAGGGATATGACCCCCCGTACCAGTATCCATCAACGGCCAGGCGCGGGGGATCTTTCGATTACCTCATATGGGTGAAAGGCGAAGCGGGGCTGGCGCCGATCGCTACGCCCAACCCGACGCCCAACCCGACGCCCAACCCGACGCCCAGCCCGACGCCCAGCCCGACGCCAAGCCCGACGCCCAGTCCGACGCTCAGCCCGACGTATCCTCCGGCCGGAGGCATGGCTGCCACAGGCGATCCCCACCTGCAAAATGTTCTTGGTCAGCGGTTCGATTTGATGAAGCCGGGCAAGTACGTTCTGATAAACATCCCTCGTGGAAGGCACAAAAACGCATTGCTTCGCGTGCAGGCCGACGCGCGTCAAATGGGAGGACATTGCGCAGACATGTATTTCCAAGAACTGAATATTACAGGGGAGTGGGTGGAAGCTACAGTGTCTGGCGGTCTCCGTTTCCAAGCTTGGAGTGTGCAGCACGAGCAGCCAAATTGGTTGAAGTTTGGGAAGGTGCAGGTGAAAGTTGCCCATGGGCGCACTCAGAACGGTGACCAGTATCTGAACTTCTATGTAAAACATATTGGACATTCTGGATTCACTGTCGGAGGATTACTAGGAGAAGACGACCACACGGAGGCAGCGATACCCTCGGAGGCTTGCATGCACCACCTTACCCTGCTTAAGGCGTTATCCAATCAGTCTCGGAGCGCACCCGTTTTCTCGGTTGCCGAAGCGAGCTACGCTTAATGACGCGCGCGCGTGGCGTGAAGCTGTGGTGAACTTTTGCAGAGTGCAAGACGCTCTGAGACAATAACCGCTGAGATAATAACCGCTCTGGGTTCGCAAGGTGCTCCTCGCTGCTCCCTAGGCCCACCCATGGCTGTTCCTCTGGCTCTCCTCGTGCACCCGGGCGCTCTCGGCGCCGCAAAGAGGACCCCGTTCCATGCTCAGCGCTCCTCATGGCAGCAGCTTGACTGCACAGCCACGGTGCTCCCAAGACCGTCGAGGAGGCTCCCCAGAAGCCCCTGGGAGTGCTCCGGGAGGGCGTTCCAGGCTTCCGGGCCCCGACGATCCCACCAAGTTTGTTTCAACAGCCCCCAAGGCGGCACAATATGTCTCCGAGATCGCCCCAAGACGGCCCCAAAGGGCCCCGCGAGAGTCTTTCCAGCGAGCCCCAGAAAGCCCCACGATGGCCCAAGGCAGGCCCAAAGGGCTTCCAAGCTAGACGCGCACATGGTAGGATGCCGCTTGCCCCTCGAGCGCGCGTTTGCAAAGATTTCGTCTGGCAAGTTTTGCACGCTGGCGGTTGCGCGTGCTCAGAATCCCGGGGATGCTTCTTACCCGCGCACGTGTTTGAGACGCCAACCCAGCTGGAACGGTGACATGAACCCACTGATGCTCTGATCAAGTGTTTGGTGCTCCCACCTCCGAAGTCTGTCCTAAGCCATAGCGTAGAATACATGGTGCATCATGTTGCCTCTTCCTTACGCCGTGTCAGCGGCGCACGCGAGCCGCCAGGGCAAACCAGCATGGGTCGATAGCGGCAGAGCGTGCCGCGACAAACATGATTTTGTTTCGAGCGATCCCCACCGAATCCTTACGCGTTTGTTCCCGACGGCGCGCGGTCGCCCAAATTGCCGTTTCTGGATTCAAAAAATCGGTTCAACCGTGTTCCACGTAATCACGTTCATTAATGTTGTGCTCTATTATTCCTATGATGTTCTCGACGGGCCGGCGTGAGGTCTTCACACATGTGACGTTAGATACGTCGTCAGTTGTGATCTTTCTCGTCACTGATGTTTCTCTTCTGATTGAGTCGGTTATGGAATGCTCATCTACGCCACCATATAATTGAGAAATTATTGTCTGTTCTGCTCTGTGGCACTATGCTATGGCATGACATGGTATGTCAAACTATGCTATGTTATGATCTGTTTCGTGATGCTGTTGACAGCTCGGCTCAGTACAGTATACTATGATTTGCTCTGCTAGTATGTGTCGCTATGCTCTGCTGTCGTGTAATGATATGAGTTGTGGTGCTGCCGTGCTATGTTTTGATATGTTATGGCATGGTGTGTTGTGTTCCGCTTGGTTATATTATGATATGTTATTGTATGCCGTCTGTTATGTCATGTTCGGACATGGTAAATTCTTTGATGTTATGTATCTTGACGTCCTGGCTCTGTAGAGTTTATTGTGATATGGTTTGCTAGTATGTGTCGTTATGCCTTGCTGCCGTGTCACGATATGATATGTAATACTGTGTCATGATATGATATGTTCTGTCAAGGTGTGTTTCGGTATGCTCGGTTATGTTATGTTATGTTGTTTTATGTCGTCTTCTAGTGTGTCGTGTTTTGCTCTGATATGGCATTTGATATGTTATGCCTTGGTTTGTCATGTTATTGCTATGTTATGTTTTGTCATGTTCTGTCATGGTCGTGTGATGTTCTCTCAGTTTCTGTTGTGCCATGTTATGTTCCGTTGTGTTCGACGTCGCTATGCTCTGCTGTCGTGCTTTTGTCTGTTCTGTGATGCCGTGTCATGATACGATATGTTCTGTCAAGGTGTGCTTTGGTATGCTCGGGGTTGTTATGTCATGTTGTGTTCTGTCGTCTTTTGATATGTCATGCTCTGCTCTGGTATGTTCTGTGCTGTTATGTTTGATGACGGCCCGGCCTGGTAGAGTATAGTATGATATGATATGGTATGCTAGTATATGTCGCTATGATCTGCTGTCGCGTTATGATATGTTCTGTGATGCTGTGTCATGACATGATATGTTATGCCCAGGTGTGTTATGGTATGCTCGAATATGTTATGTTATGTTGTTTTATGTTTTCTTCTGTTATGTCATGGTCTGGTCTGTTATGGTATGGCATGTGATGTTATGTTATGCCCGATTTTGGCATGGAATTGCTATGTCCTGTTCTGTCATGTTCTGCCATGCTCGTGTTCTGTTCTGTCAGTTTCTGTTGTGCCATGTTGTTTTAAGTTGTTTTCATCGTCGCTATGCTCTGCGACCGTGTTATGATATGTCATTTGATGCTGTGCCATGATCTGATATGTTATGTCAAGGTGTGTTATCTGATGCTCGGTTTTGTTATGCTATGTTGTATTATGCCGTCTTGTGTTATGCCACGTTCGGCTCTGGTATGTTATTTGATGTTCCGTTATGCGCTGGTTTGGCATAACATTGCTATGTGTTGTTCTGCCATGGTCTGTCATGCTCGTGTTCTGTTCTGTCATATTCTGTTGTGGTATGCTGTGTTATGTCGTCTTCGTCGTCGCTATGCTCCGCTGTCGAAATATGATTTCTTTCTGTTGCTGTGCCATTATAGGATATGTTATGCCAATGTGTGTTATGCCATTCTCGGTTATGTTATGTTATGTCGTGATCTGTCGCCGTCTTCTGTTACGCCATGTTCTGCTCTGGTATGTTCTGGGATTTCCTGTCATGCTGTACTTAGTCATGATATTGACCTGCTCTGATCTGTGAAGTGTTGTCATGCTCTGTTCTCTTATGGCATATTATGCTCTGTCATGTTGTGTTCTGTCGTGTTCGTCGAGGGCGCGAGGCGGGACACCGGGGACTCGGGGATCATCGGGACAACTTTGGGTCTGGCGGCCGCGGTAAGCAGGGTGGGGTTGGCCAGGCTCGAGGCGGGACACCGGGGACTTGGGGATCATCGAGGCAACTTGGGGGGTCTGGCGGCCGCGGTATGCAGGGCGGGGTTGGCTGGGCGCGAGGCGGGATACCCGGGACCATCGGGACAACTTGGGGTCTGGCGGCCGCGGTATGCAAGGTGGGGTGCTCGGGGGGGCTGTTCTTGAAATCTAACAACCCCAACCTGTCGGGTGGGGAAAATGAGGGGAAGGAGGAGGCAAGGACAAGGATGAGGAGGCGGGGCGGAGAGCGGAGACGGCGTGACTTCGGGACGCCTGTCGCGTTCGACGCGTCATCGAATCGATCACTGCTGCGCCTGTTTGTCCCTTTCATGAGCCTGACGACGGGGCGGCGCGGTACAGCGGTGGCTATCGTACACGTGATGTTGTGCTATAGTGTGTTTCGTTGGATGCCGCCCCAATGTAGTATGTGACCAGGTGCTCTGTTATGTTCTGACCTCGACGGGCTGCGGCGTGACGCCGTGATGCCTGAGCGAGGCCGTGGAGTGGTTGCTACTGTATACGCGATGTTGAGCTATAGCGTGTTTGATTGGAATCTGCCGCAATGCAATATGTGATATTCTGTTCTGTGATGTTCTGGTATCGATGGGCCGGCGTGACGTCGTGACGCCTGTCAGGTTGGATACGTCGTCGAATCGCTCTGCTCATTGGCACCATGATAGGACACGATATGCTCTGTCAGCCTATGTTATAATATGCTATGTTCCGTGATGCTGTTGACGGCTCAGTTTAGTATAGAATTGTATAATATGCTCTTTCAGTGTGTTTTTCCATGTCCTATTATGTCGTGATGCTCCCCTCCACTTCTGCCGTTGCTGTATTCAAGAAGGTTCGACAACGTTCAATGTGGTAACGGTCTATCATGCTATGTTATGTGGTGTCCAGTTATGTCCTCGACAGGCCAGCGTGACGCCTGACGCCTGGGCGACGCCGTGGAGAGGTGGCTACTGTATAGGCGATGCTGTGCTATAGTGGGTTTGGTTGGACCCTGCCCCGATGTAGTATGTGATACTATGTTCTGTGATGTTGTGATCTCGACGGGCCAGCGTGACGTCGCGATGCCTGTCACTTCCACAATGTTCCATGTTGTAACGTTCGACCATGTGATGCTCTATTATGTTCTGTTCTGTTCTCGACGGGCTGGCGTGACGTCGTGACGCCTGGGCGACGCCGTGGAGTGGTGGCTACTGTATAGGCGACGTTGTGCTATAGTGTAAGTGTATGTGTGTGGGTGGTAGGATTCTGCCCCGATGTAATATGTGACGCTGTGTTCTGTGATGCTCTGATATCGACGGGCCGGCGTGACGTCGTGACGCTTGTCACGTTAGATACATCGTCGAATATTTCTTTGTTGTGACTGTTGGTTTCTGTGGCCAACCTGGCCGACATTAAAAAACGGTACGTTATGTTATGGTATCCCGCTGCCCTTCCGTTATCTCTTCCGTACAAGTACCTTCTGTCATGCTCGTTTCTGCCACGATGTGTGTCGGTATGCTATGTTATGCTCTTCCTTGCGGCACCATGCTAGGACGTGATCTGTCCTGTCAGGTTATGTTGTAGTATTCTCTGCTCCGTGATGCTGTTGACTGCTCAGCTCAGTATGGTATAGCATGCTTTGCTTTGGTAGCACGTGTTGCCGTCCTGTGCTGTCGTGGCACTCATCTCCACCGCTGCACGCGTCGTGACGCCCGTGACGTTGGATGCGTCGTCTGTTTAGGTGTTCCTCTTCACCTCTATGCTTCTTGTTTGATTGCGTATGTTGTGTTATGCGCATCTCTGTCGTCATGTGATGTGACATACTGAAAAATGGTCTGCTCCGCGGCACTCTGCCATGAAATGGTATGATATGTCAGGTTATGCTATAGTATGCTCTGTTCCGTGATGCTGCTGGCAGTTCGTCTCAGTATCGTATGTTATACTCCGTGATGCGGTTGACAGCTCGGCTTATTGTTAGTACCAAGGTGTGTTATGCTGTGCTCGGTGATGTTCTGATATGTTATGTCTCGGCGTTTTCTGCTCTGTCATGTTCTGCTCTGGTATGCTATGTGGTGTTCTGTTTGTTGACAGCTCGACACTGTATAGTACATGTTGACTTGCTCTGCTGGTATGTGCTGCTATGCTCTGCTGTCGTGTTATGATCTGTCCTGTGATGCCGCCCCATGACATGATCTGTTATGTCAAGGTGTGTATTGCTATGATCGGCTATACTATGCTATGTTGTGATATGTCGTCTTCTGTTCTGGCATGTTCTGCTCTGGTATGTTATGTGATGATACGTTATGCTCTATCTGGT